GGGGTTGGCGGCAGAGGAGGAAACCGCCAAGCGGGAGGCAGGGGTCAAGGTCCCCCGGAAAACCGTCCTTGGAGGAGGGCTCCCTATAGAATAGGAGGATGGCACCCAGGGCTACCTCAGGGTAGGCCTTGGGAATCTTTGGGTTTGGACCAGGCTTTATGGCAACAACGATTGGACCAGGGCCAGTGCATTTTCTGCAGTGACCCGGGCCATATCATCAAATATTGTCCTAAGTATAGAGAGACCCAAACGGCTGCCCCAGGGCCAAAAGGCAGCCGCCGGTAGGGGTAGCAACTGCCCCTACCATTAGGCCATATGGGGAACATAGCGCTAGCCGGCAGGAGACTCCCACACCACATGTGCCTATGGCAGAGGTTGCAGGCCGGTGTCTAGACAGCTGTCCAGAGACTGCTTGTGTCAGGGTCTCTTTAGACACCTCCCTCACAGGCGTGGCCGAAGAATTGAAGGAGAGGATGCCCGCCTGGGCCAAGATGAAAAAAAAACAGAAAGGACAGCTAATTCTGGTAGATGTAGAGATTTTTAGAGGTAGAGTAGGGGTCCTAGTAGATTCAGGGGCTACCCGCAGCTATATTAGTAGGAAGGCGCTGCAGACGTAGAAGCTGGGGCTTAAAGTCCAAAAGCTATCAGATCCCATAGTTAGTATCCTCGCAGACAATCATACTATGGTTGTAGAGGAGTATGTAGAGGGAGTCCAGGCGTATTTCCGCCTAGAGAAGGATGGGAAAGTGGAGAAGGTCCTCCACTCCCTGACTCTCCTCGTAGAAGACAGCCTCCCATTCGACATTGTTCTGGGAATGGACTCCATTTGAAGGAGCACGAGTGTAGGCTCCCTAGTTCTTCAGGCGAGGCTAAGACTGCCCGCCTGTTCCATGTGTCAGGCGTAGAGAATTCCTTGGCACATTGTTGCCTGAGCGCGCCCGCATTCGCCAGATTGGTGAAGAAGGAGAAATTGGAGGAACAGGTCTTTGTCGCCTATATTAGRCCAGTGATTGAGCCTAAGGAAGAGAAGCCCGTAGACCCTACTATTGCCAAATTGCTGGAAGAGTTTAAGGATTTAACTAAGCCGCCGACAGGCACGGTGCCGCGGCCCATCCAGCASCGTATTGAGATAGAGCCTGGCAGTAGAACTCCTAAGGGTGCTGTATATAGGATGTCCCCGCGGGAGTTRGARGAGCTACGGAAGCAATTGGACGAGCTYCTCGAAAAGGGTTGGATTAGGCCCAGTTCGTCTCCTTTTGGAGCCCCTGTTCTCTTTGTCCCTAAGAAAGAGGGAGAGTTGAGGATGTGTATAGACTATAGGGGTCTGAATGCTACTACAATAAAGAATGCTAAGCCACTGCCTAAGATAGACGATCTCTTAGATCGAGTGCAAGGGGCAAAGTACTTCTCTAAGATAGACTTAAAGTCCGGATACCATCAGATAGAGGTACATCCTGATGATCAGTATAAGACAGCCTTTCGGACTAGGTACGGGCACTATTGAGTTTATAGTGATGCCCTTTGGACTAACCAATACGCCAGCTACGTTCCAGCGTTGTATGAACGATTTGTTTAGGCCATGGTTAGATAGATTTGTTGTAGTGTACCTAGATGACATTCTAGTGTTTAGTAAGACCCTCGACGAGCATCAGGGTCATCTCAGGCAGGTCTTGGAAAAGCTGAGGGAAGCTAACTTCAAGATCAATGCGAAGAAGTGCGATTGGGTGAAGACCCAAGTTTTGTATCYAGGCCACGYCTTAGACGGAGAYGGCGTTAAGCCAGAAGATAGCAAGATCGCAGCGATTAGAGATTGGCCCACGCCACGTACGCTGACAGAGTTGCGCTCGTTCCTGGGCTTAGCAAATTACTACAGGAAGTTCGTGAGGAACTTCTCCACCATCGCTGCGCCCCTTCGCAGATTGCTAAGAAAAGAGACAATCTGGAAGTGGGACAAGGACTGCACGTCTGCCATGAAGAAGCTAAAGAAGGCGTTGATAGAGTACCCGGTCCTTAAGGTCGCCGATCCGTCCTTGCCTTTTGTCGTTACTACGGATGCTAGCCAGTACGGCATAGGCGCAGTGTTACAGCAAGACGATGGCAATGGGTATAGACCCGTAGAGTTCATGTCCGCTAGAATGCCTTCAGAGAAGGTCGCGATATCTACCTACGAGAGGGAACTCTACGCTCTCAGGCAAGCCTTAGACCACTGGAAGCACTACTTGCTTGGGAGGCACTTCAAAGTCTATTCTGACCATGAAACGTTACGATGGTTAAAGACGCAGGCCAAGATGACACCTAAGCTTACTAGGTGGGCCGCAAAGATAGATCAGTACGACTTTGAGCTCAAGCCTGTCAAAGGGAAGTACAACGTAGTCGCGGATGCTCTGAGTAGAAGAGCTGATTATTTTGGGGCAATAGTACATTACCTCGATATAGGAAAGGATCTGCAGCAGCAGGTTAGARAASCCTACRCGCAGGACCCTATCTATGGTGAGCTCCTTAAGAAAGTCAAGGAGGCCCCAGAGACCGAGCCGAACTACCGCACTACTGAAGGGTTGCTTTTTGAGAAGACTAATGTTTTTGACCGATTGTGCATCCCCAATAGCGAAGAGATCCGCAGTCTGATCCTGGGAGAATGCCATGACACGGAGGGTCATTTTGGTTTGCAAAAGACCTTAGCCAATCTGATGCGCGCGTATACCTGGCCAGGGATGAAGAATGACTGCATAGAGTATGTTCGCAGTTGTAAGGTCTGCCAGCGTAACAAGTCTTCTACGCGTGCCCCGTTAGGTGTTCTCAGACCCTTGCCCATTCCAGATCAGCCGGGAGACTCAGTGTCAATAGATTTCATGGACACTCAAGTCAAGAGCAGGCATGGCAAGAGCCAAGTCATGGTCATAGTTGACCGCTTTAGCAAGTACGCAGTTTTTGTTCCTTTGCCTTCTGAGGCGCGTACTGATTTAGTCATACAGAGGTTCTTTGACTGTTGGGTTAGTGAGAATGGAATCCCGCTGTCTATAGTTAGCGATAGAGATAGTCGCTTTA